AGAGGCTGGGTATTCATTTGGAACTGTCATCTTGAAGTCTATAAAATATCTGCAAAAAATAACTATTAAATAATAAGTACAAATGAATGATGAGCTTACTGATCTTGAGCTGCTTTATAAAGTATTACTCCAGTCTTTTGCTTTATCTTTAATTCATCACCTTCTCTACAATAGCAATACATTCAAATCCAAAAAAGTCTCTAACAGTTAACATAATAAAATAGTCTTTCCTTTAAAGTCATTTTCATTGAATCTGCACATATTAAAGTAAATTAAAAATTCCACCAAATAGTCATTAATATCTAAGTACTATTAATTCTAAAATTTCTAGTTATAATAATAAGTATTTACAAACTCATTCATTCAAGTACATGTACATTCCACCCTCCCTTTACCTGTTAATAGTATTCTTAATATATTGGAGTTCTTCAGAACAGACAATTAATGGGTTATTCTTAATAAAGTCGCATAAGAACAAAAGGATTGTTGACACCTAAAAGGCACAGGGACTGTATCATTGATATATAACTAATGGTTGGTAGGTAAACCACACCTGTTTGGAACCAACAAGCTTCTTTAGTTCTTGGTCACAAAGTGTCTCGATTTTTTCAATTAGTTTATCTGGTAGTACTTTACTCTTAATTTGAAGTAACAATGGATTTGCTGGATACTCGGGAGGGAATTGAATATTAACAATGATATTCTTATATTCTGTGTATCTTTAGATAAAAGAATTTTTAAATTATAACTAATTAAATAATAATAATGATGATGATGATGATGATGATGATACATTTGGTTTGGACATTTTCAATACATATTGTGAACAAGATTTAAACTGTTTCATGTAATAAAAGCCTCAAAAATATTTATTTTTGCTAATAAACTGAACATTGGAAAATGAGCAGATTTATACATTGCACAGTAGTCTAACTGCATAGCAGATGTTCAATAATTTATTATTTAATTAATTTTCTTCACATTGCGAAACAATAGGGTCCACTTACTTGATTCTTACTTGAACTAAAACTTTGTGACATGCTATAAATTCTAATGAGGATAATTTTGGATCAGAACGAACATCTTTTAGCTCATTTTCAACAAATTCTTTAGAAGACAATCCAGTGGCCATTAAAAAGAGTGTGGCTAGTTAGCAAATAACAGGGCGTGGCTAGTTATAATTTTTAATAATCAAATTT